ATGGATGGATGGATTTTAAAACTGCCAAACTCAATCGATACCATTGATTCCTCTTTGAGTCGACATATTTTCCATCATGGGACAGTTTCAGACCTAAACGTTGATGTTTCAGAGCTCTGATGTGCAGCTGGAGGTTAGAAACAAGCAGCGAAATGCACACACAGATATAAAACAGTGACTGACAGGGCTGATGGGTTTCCTGCTTCTCCTTTCACAGGAATAAACGTTTGTTTTCTGACACTGTGTGCAGAAGCAGAATCGCCAGACGTGTCAAATGCAACAAAGAAAGCTGATGACCGACGTTGTGATTCTCATTATCTCCGACGACGGTTTCAGGTTTTGTTAAGCTGGCTAACACCAAGAAAGTCTGGATGTTCATGTCTTTGTAGATTCCTCTGCTGATGGAAACGACACAAAAAATAACAGAAGTCCTTTATTGTCAGTTTAACTGAAGCAGGAATTCTGTCACAGCAGGTTTAAACGCACAGTAAGAAATGTGCAGATGTCAAATATAAACATCTATGTTCTTCTGTTCTTTTAAGTGAAGCTCATGTATAGCATCAAGAATAATAAAAGAACATTTGTGAAAAGCGAACGTCTTAAACATCCGTGGTCCAGTGAATGCAGCAGCGTCTCGTGTTCGCGGCGGCAGGTCGGAGGAGGATGTTTGCAGCCGCATTTAGACCCAGAATCAGCGCCGGCTTCAGTCCCGTGTGTCTTCCTGTCAGGAAGTCCAGCCCAGGGTTCAGGCCACAGCGTGACAAGCTCCAAAACAATGGAGCGTCCAAGAAACCGAGTCCCAGAGACACGACCGGACAATGAAAGCTGCAGAAATCCTTCACTCAAGGCCCAAAGCACTCCAAGACCAAAATATCTCTGTACGTGCAGGAAACAGAGCAAACGTCGGTCAGCTGGAGCTGCCGTGTGTTTCACTGGGTTCTGGTTTTGCTTCGGGTTTTACAGAATAAATACGTCTTTAAATGTCTAAATCAGAGCTTCCAGCAGCTCCGACCGGCTGCCGTCTCCACGTCTATGGAAAACATCTCCATAAACGTTGGTTACTGGTTCGCCAGACGAGCACGCCGCTCGACAGGACGCCTGGTTGTGTCTGCAGGTTGCCATGGTTACGGGTTTACGGGTTGGTTTTAGGGTTTCGCTGCATTCCTGCCGTTCGGCCGGCGACGGTCGGGATTCAGTTTGACGGCAGCTTCTGATTGTGTGCTGAAGGCGAAGACTTTATTACCCTGAACTGTGTAAATGGTTCAGGAGCCGAGTCAGTTTTGATCATTTTCAGCAGAACGTTTACATGAACCTGGTTCTGCATTTACACAGTAGGTACATGTACACAGAATGACTAAATCTGATTTTAGAGAAAGAGCACAACCAGATAAAGAGTGACAAAAACAACCAAATAAGACATAAAATGACCCAAATTTAGACACAAAATTACCTAAACAACCAAAGGCAGACACAATTTGACCAAAATCAGACGCAAACCAAACAAAATCCCACAGAAAATCACCAAATCCACCAAAATCTAACACAAAATGACCTAAATTTAGACACAAAATGACCTAAGCAACCAAAGTCAGACATAAATTGACAATTATCAGACAGAAAATGACCCAAAACCACCAAAATTAGAGACAAATTTACCAAAATCTGAATCAAATAAATCAAAACTGACATAAAATTCCTAAAATCTGATATAAAATGACCAAAACAACCAAAGGCAGACACAGTTTGACCAGATTTAGACACAAAACAAGCAAAATCCTACAGAAAACATCCAGAATGAAACACAAATTAACCAAAATCAGACACAGAAATACCCCAAATCAGAAATAAATCCACTAAAGCCAGATGCAACATGACCAACATGAGCAGCGGTGCTCCTTGAGTTCTCCAGTGAGCATCTTCTAATTGATCAGAACCAGATCATTGGGGACACAAACTGGAATCAGGACTCGATGTTCGTTTATTCTCCCGTCATGTGAACACGTTCAGCGCTGACACTGTCACTGTCCCAACACGAGAGAACGTCGAGAACGCCAGTCGTGTCCCGGCAGGATGCAGATCAGTGAGATCAGTCCATCAGTGTGACAGGTGAGTTCATGTGAACAGAGACTCACCTGTCAGTCACGCTACCCAGAACAGTGAGAACATGTCAGCTGCTGTTGATCCACACAGAGGAGAAGAATTCAGGTTTCCCTCTGAAGGAAACACGGCAGCAGATTTACCAGCTCAAAGGAGCTCCAGTGGCAGGTTGGACATGAGAGGATTAAACAAAATGTTTAGACTGTTTGTTTTTCAATGTCACTTAATAACTTCTCTTAATGTAACTCGAAACTACCATGTCAGCCAAAATAAAATGACCAAAATTAGACACAAAACAACAAAAATCTGACATAAATGGACCAAAATCAGACACAATATGTCCAAAATCAAATATGAAATGAGCAAAATCTGGCACAAAACAACTAAAATCAGACATAAAATGGACCAAAATTATAAACCATACGACTAAAACCAGACATAAATTGACCAAAATGAGAAACAAATGACTGAAATCATACACAAAACAACAAAAATGAGCTATAATATGACCAATATCACACATAATGAGCAACATCGGACACGAAACAACCGAAATCAGACATAAATGGACCAAAATCCAAAACAAAATGAACAAAGTCACATTCAGATGAACCAAAATGAGAAACAAACTCAGCAAAATCTAAAACAAATGATAAAAATCAGACTGAAAAGGACGTAAATTAAACATCAGTTAACCAAAATGTGACACAAAACCACCAGAATAAATCCATCCATCCATCCATTCTCTATACACCGCTTAATCCTCATTAGGGTCGCGGGGGGGCTGGAGCCTATCCCCAGAATAAATCAAAAATAAAAATAAAAAACACAATATTACCTCAATAACCTCCATAATTCAGTGAACTTCCCTCCTGACTGAACTCCTGTTTTCTACCATTATTATTTCTCATTTTGTTTTATCAGGTTTATTAAATCTATCTTGTATTTTTTTTGTTCAGCTGACTGAGAGACGTGTTACAAAATCCAACAGTTCAGGTTTGAAACTCGAGCAGGAAGCTTGTGTTACTGGTTCTGTCCTATAAACCTCCACCGGGTCAGCCTGAGTCCTCAAGTACAGGCTGGAGGTCCTCGTCCTTCACAACCACGACTTTTGTTTGGTACTACTTATTATATATTATATTATAATATTATTATATGACTCAAATGTTGTGATCAAAGAGTTGCTCATTTAGTTAAAATGACCGAAAAAAATAGACGCAAAGTGATGACGATCAGGTGCAAAACAACAGATAAAGAGAAAGAGACGAAAAAATGATGACAAAGAGCAAAAAAAAGAACAAAAAAAATACAGAAAATGACCACAAAGAAACACAAAAAGTCCAAAAAATTTAATAAAGTCAATTCGTTAAAGAAATTAAAAGAAATAATAATTAAATCAGACACCGCAAGTTAACATATAAGATCATTTTCTAAACTAAAGTAAAACAAATACAAAAATAAATAAAAATCAAGATCACTTATTTATTTTATGAAAAACTAAATCCTCTCACTGGTAGAAGTTTTCAGACACTTTGCTGTGAGCTGTGGTCGCTCACATCCTGTTAAAATACGTGTGATTAAAAAAACTTGAGACGTTTACTGAAGATCTCACAAATAAATTAAAAGTTAGAGCAAAAAAAAAACACACAAAATGAGCCCAAGTCGCGACCCTGCTGAGGGTTCTGACCCATAATTAGTTTAATTTAATGCAAACACTTCTGTATGTTTACCTGAGTGAGGTTCTGAATGTATTTTTCATA